CACTAATAGCACTGAAAAATCCAAAGTTTAATTCCTGAAAATCATTTATTAACAGGTGATGAAGATGAATATGTTCCCTACCAGTCAAACAGTATGCTATTTCCTGGTGCAGGGTCTAGAATGAATTTTTGCAAGGAAAGCACATGATGTAGAAAAGTCATTATTTTAGGGGGGGAGGGGGAAAGACAATGAAAACAGAGCAACTTTTCTTCTAGAAATGAGTCCCAGAGTGACTTGTTACAAGTTCCAGAAATATCTGTACAAAGATGTTCGTCACAGTGTTCTTTAGAAAATTAAATCATGCACACACACCAATACCTGAAAACAACTTAAATGGCCATCAATAGGGCCCCTCACTAACTGAAGAGCAATCTATGCTCATACAGGGACATATTAAGTGTCCGTTAAAAAATGGTCATTCTACATTTTTGATATGGAAAAATAACAACTTGTTAAGTGTAAAAAGCAAATAAAGTCGGAGTGGATAGTATGATTTCATTTGTGTGGAATTGTGTGTGTGTGTGTGTGTGTGTGTGTGCAGGTACAGGAAGAGAAAGAAACATTCACAAGAATGTTTGTTGAAATATTAACAGCAGCAGCATTAAGGTGACTTATAGAAATTCTTTCCTGTAATTCCTATATTGTTTAATTACTTTTATTAAACACTTAAATTCTGAATGAATACATCATGATACAGTAATATATGCATAATTATAATTTTTAACAATAATGAGGGAGAATAAACAAAAATTTTGGTGGGTCCATGTAGATTTATCATATAGTTTAAGATGAATTGTTCAAATTCTTCACAGTCAGTTAATATGACTTTGTAGTCAGAAGAATGGGTATATGTTTAGAATAAATAAAAGTGAAAAGTTATATGTGTCATGAACACTCTATGGTGACTGTGCTTTTCTCCTCACTTGACCTTGACCTCCTCACTAGGTCAGGCCACAAAGGAGAGTGGATTTCACCTTCTCATTTCCCTTAAGTGCAGACCAAACCTCAATGGAGTCCTGAAGTCCCTTTCACAAGTTCCACAGATCTATCTCTAGTAGCCAGCGAAAGGCTAGCACAGGGTAGATGGTTGGTAAAGGTGAGTTGTTTAAACATATAATATATCACACGTAGACAGGTAAGAAGCTTGTTACGATCAGTTTTCTCCTTAATCCACAGAGCCCTTCATTTTCACTTTGCTGCCCTGGTTCCACACCTGAGTCGTCTGCCCAGGAGTGGTCATGAACATTCCATTCCACTAAGCTCCTGTACACTCCTCAGAACCCTCTCTTAATCTAGTAAGGATTTCTTATCAGTTCTCCCTGAGCTGCGTCTATGTGCCATACACTGCA